AAATCAGGCATATTACTGGGAACATGCCAATTCCCACCACGAGGAGCTGTTTCTAGAGCACAGTAGTAATCGATTTNTATTAATATGCTCATGAATAGAAACTCTCGTCGCATGCACATCTCCGGTGGCAGGTTATACGGTGTAAGAAAGACCGGCCACAATGAATATTGTCTCCCAGACATTCCAAATGGACTAAATCCATCAGTGCATAATCCAAGATACACATTCCGGCTATTGCTAGCGAAATGTGGATGTACATTGTTAAAATGTTTCCAGACTCTTGCATCTGATGGATGAGTCATCTCTCCATCCGTCTGAGTATGCTTGGCATGCCATCTCATCCCTCCAGCAGTCTCCTCAGATTGGTACAATCTTTTCAATCTGTCTGTGATTGGTACGTACCACATCCTTTGGTACGGTACCCTATTACGCCCTCGACCTTGCGGTTTGAATCGTGGCTTCTTACAAAATCGACATTCTTCTAACTTCTCATCATCTCCCCAGTAAATCATGCAGTTGTCGATGCAAACGTCTATCATCTCCGAGGGCAACCCAAGACTATATACCAATTTCTGAATCTGATAATAAGATTCAGCAGCCACATTGTCTTCTGGCAAATACTCTTTAAACAAGTCTGTCCATGCATCCATACAATTTTCAGGTAGATTGTGATCGGTTTTAATACTCATCATTCTAGCAGCCAACGACAATTTAGACATACCTTCTCTACAACCACTGTAAATTGGCTCATTCGCAGCATCTAACATTTCATAAAACTTTTTTTCATCTAAGTTAGGTTCTTCAACTTCATCATCATCATGAGTTACAAATGCATCACCTACCATATCATGAACCCTATCACAATCTACCATTTGTTCTTCTTGGTGATGATAGCTATTTTCATTACGCAAATGATCAACCGGTTCAACCTGAAAATTGCTATTACTACTGCTACCTTCATTCCTACAACTAGCATCGTCTTCTCCATGTTGATACCAAATATAATAATATGGCATGAAACCTCTATTTAAATGCTTCCAAACATTTTCACGATGGCCTAATTTTGTATTGCAACATTTCCGACAATGACAGAACATCTTACCAATTTCCTGCGTGAGTGGTGTAGAATATGCTTGATGCATAAACGTCTCCAACCCTTCGAGAAATTCTTTCGTCACCCTCCCGTTATTATCTCTGTGTGAATACATCCACTTCCGCAACTCAAAAATATTTCCCGGACCGGACATATTTTTTGTGTTTGATCAAGCTTATAACTGATTATTTTTTGGTGTGTTTCAAATGAATCACAATTGTGATATTTATAGAAATTTTCGAATCTGAGCGTTTACTAGGAAATTGCTAGGAAATGTAGGTACAAAACATGTTTTTAATTTAAATTCGATATTTCCTATCCAGTTCCTCCTAATTTCGTAGTAACAAATCTATTCCTCTTAATTTCATAGTAAGACTTTACTAGGACTTTACGAGGAAATTGTCTTACTACGGGCTTACGAGGAAATGGACTTTTGCCACGTAATTTCCTCGTAAGCTTACTACGATGTTACGAGGAAATATGTTTCTCGTAGCAGTACGAGGACCTTACGAGGAAACAAGTTTTCCTCGTAAAATCAAAGTAAGTTCGTAGTAAATTTACGAGGAATTATTTTCCTAGTAAAATTTCCTAGTAACTTCTTAGTTTTCTTGTAGTGACTATACATGCATCCTCTACTGATATTTACTATGCCAAGATCAGTATGATAAGAGGAAAATACCATGGTAACCAGAATGTTTACCACAAAATTATTCACTTTATGGCATGACTGGATTCGCCATTCTGGTCTAAACGTGATGCAAAGATTGATATACAAATAGGCACAAAGAGTTATCCCATAGAATCTCACGTGTATAACATCTACACAATGGAAATTCATTAGGCCCAAGCAATTAAAGATTATAGTATGTTCATGAGGGGGCAGTGAGGACAAACCCATGGTCCATGGCCATATTATAAATGGCTTGGCCGAATTCTCTTATAAACGCATAAGACCATTCCCTAAAAGGTCCAAAGCTTGGGGACACACAAAATTAACATGTATCTAAAGTTAATACACATCAGGCCATCTAGTGAGCATATATGTTCCCATCTCAAATTGATTACGGGTCATGAACCAGACATATCTCATCTTAAGACATTTAGAATTGCCACCAAAATCTGTGCCATCTAAGATGGAGTTCTAAGAAGAGGATGGGGATATATGTTGGATATGTTTTCTCCCACGAATATTAATACTTAGAGACGACCATGGGTGATTAGTTTGAGGCCAGGTACACGGATTGCATGTCTAATGGATCCGACTATCCAACATCGGGGGAAAAATAATAAGCTGGTAAAAGAATGATGAGAGAAATAGAATAGAATAAAACATCGTTGTCTTGGCAAGATCCTCGGACTAAAGAAAGTGAAATAATATTTCCAAAGATAAATACAAAGATTATATATTTATAAGCTAGCTAATCAAATGCCAAACACATTATGCTGACCCGAAAGGAAAAGAAAAGAAAAGAATGACTAAGTCATACCAGCTTGCACCAACAAATTTGATGTATTAAAAAGACACAGTCAAGTTGCTACAGAGTCTAGACAAAGTAGACCAATAATTTCCATGAGATAAGAATCCTTGAAAAGAAAAGAGGAAGGTGCATAGAATGATAACATATCCGAGGTCAAAGAAAACCAGACCAGACATGGAGATAAGGCTGGTGAGCTGAACATCTAAGATACCAAACCATGTAGCTTGGGACGCCAAGCTGCTAGGTAATAAAGGTCCTAGATAACAATCTCAAATTGATTAGATCATGTCTGGAACACCATGGAACCACTTAAGAGTGTCGACACATAGATGATAGATTCATTTAAGGAAGCACATAAAGGTAGCACTTGAACTTATAGATATAAAGTGAGGATCATGAACCCACGTAATAGAGTACTCGTAAGATCAGATTAAATGGAAACATGGGGTTAGAGGATCTAGAGAAAGAGAGTCGTATTGGCCATATATATATAGACGCCATATAATATAAACCAGTGGATGTAAATGGATCTTGTGAGGGAAAGAAAATCGTGAGATGTAGAACATGATCATGTGGTCTAAAGTTGTTCATGTTTCTACTTACAGCATTCAAGCATGACTTGTTACACAAGGATTCTTACAGAGACTAGGAATAGACTATGAGGAGATATATTCCTATGTGGTGGATGCTACTACATATTTCGAATTGATAAGGTCTGGTCATAAGAAAGAAATTAGATTAACATATAAAGGATGTAGTAAACTGTATATGGTCCACTGGATAATAATGATAAAGGTACCAGAAGGTATTGAGCTCAAAGAGGAGAAAAAAATTCTCAAGAAACATCATTGTATAAATCTGAACTATTTGTGGACTGAAACAAACATCTGCATATAGTATGATAGATAATTAGTGAAAGAAAGTTATAGGAAAAATTCAAAATCAGTTCATGTATCCTTATAAAAGAAATTTGATTTCCTTGTGTGTATTTTATACTAAGCAGTCCAGAGAGGGGTTATTTGGTTTTATTGTTGGTTTGTTTTCAGACAGTTTATGTTTTATACATGGTGGTACACGCATTCATAGCAACATCATCATCATGTGTGTGTTTGGTCGAGAGTGTGTGATGGTCGGTAGGATAATCAATCACATTCGCATGGACCATGAGACAATCCGTAAGCGCTTGTGGTCGAGGTCCATCCAAGTAAAGTGGTCGACGACAAAAGAGACACATCCGTGTGGATAGTATCCGTATCCGTGAGTATGATTTGGTCGAGCACCATAAATCAACATGCCGGACCAGATAATGGAGTGGACGACAACAAAGAAGCACATCCCGTCTAGGTATTCATCGCCCACGAGTTAGAGAGAGAAGTACAAGTAGTTCAAATTCGTTCAAGCTGAAAGACTCAAGACTGAAGGATTTTCAGTGATGCTCAAATCAGGGGAGTAATACATGTTGTACTCTTTTTCCTTATCCATGGTTTTATCCGGATTTTGTCCTATTGGGTTTTTGGGTTTTTCCTGGAAGTTTTTTAATGAAGCAACATCCAAAGCGTATTACAAGCTCTATATGGTTATGACATCTAAGGGAGAGTGTTATGAACTAATTAGTGAATGGACCATAACCATATTATCTAGACTCAATCCGTGTAGTCTATATGACGGTTTAGACTTAGTATTTTTCATATTTATATTAACTTTGTACTTTCCATTTATCTCCCATATAATTCATTATATAAGAGATCCTATGAGTAATATACAACAGTTTCACACAATTCTCTTGTTAGTTTACAACATAAAAGAAGATTTACAAGGATAATCTCAAAACAAGAAAAAAGGGAAATCTCAGACATAAGAGAGAATTAGAGAAAAAAATGGGAAGATAATAAATTCAAATATAGAGGAAATCTAAAAATTGGCGACCTAAGACCATCTCCAATGGTACACTATTTTTTTTTCTATAATTTACACTAAAATAGAGTTACTCTATTTTTGTGTAAATTATAGAGAAAAAATAGTGTACTATTGGAGATGCCTTAAAAGCGTAATAAAAGGAGAGGTCAAGGTCAGAGCAAAGCAGACAGAGACACGACAATATAAAAAAGTTAGGACTTGAGCTTTATTTTCATCTACATAATTGCGAGTTGAAACTCACACAGAAAGTTTAGGCTAATATATGTATTAATGAAGTGGAAGAATATTAAATAAATAGTGGGCAAACTTTTAGCGAGTTAGAGAAAGCGTATTGAAATCCTTTTCGTCCGTAAAGGTTTTTGTGGTTACTGCGCAAAGTAGATCCCAAATAGTTTAGTTGTGTGACAGGATTAGGGACCTCATCTTAAGAGAAAAACCGACATCAAAGAACAAGCGACCTAATGGACTCATTTGATCCATTTCATAATATGCAAACTCCGTCTGTCTTGTAACGAAAACTTGGGGTCTTAAACCAGAAATATTATTGGGTAAATATCATTAGTTGAATAGAAACCATCCAAAAACCATGAGAAACCCACATTGACTGTTAACCGACGGAAAGCGAAAATACAAAACGGGAGAGGACTACTAAGACACTCATCTACGACTCAAACGCGAAAACAACATTTTAAAAGCTCAAGAGAATAAGAGGCGCAAGGTGTCACGCCACAAGTATACATACTTGGTGTTTCATCCGAGGCCTTGAACCCTTACATCTCCGACTCTTCCAAGCATAATTATTAGACAGTTTGCTACTCTCTCGCCCGCTTGGAACCAGCTTTTCTGGTCCGTCGGCTTCCACTGGAAGGAAGCAAGTCTTTGGTTTGGGCTGAGGGAGGAATTGGCAAATGATGTCTCCCAGATACCAAAGCAGGGAACCCAACAGCAGGGATTCCAACAAGAGCACAGCAGACTCCTGCCTTGTCATCATGGAAGCATTTCCACAACCCTTTTGCAAACATAGACGAAGAGAATGGTTTTCCGCAACAAAGCAATCAAGCATCCGTCCCAGTCTCATGCATTCTCTTTCGAGATACTTACTTTTCTTCTCAAGATCGGTCACATATTCCTTCTTCCTCTCTCTCGATCTCACAGCCGCATCTCTGTTTCTTACCCTCCTGAAAGATCATCATGCCACTCATTATCAATAACTCTTCAAAATTATCTCAAGCTATTACAAGTGAAGAGTAAACAAAGAGATATGGTTAAGCGGAGGCAATCAAAAGATAACTTCAAATCCATATAAACAAAATCAATCGCATTACTCCTGATACAGCATAAACCCTTTGAACAATCTAAAAAACTTCAAGATATAGTTGTTTTCAAAGCTAACCCTTTTAGCAATCTGAAGGCAAAACAAATATTCATATACAAACCATAGATCCCACAATCTTCTTTTCCGAATTAACCTGAAAATATTAATTATACGAATAAAAGTTGTTGAATCAGATATACCTTCTGCGTTTCTTGGCCATAGCATCATCGTCTCCTGATATCTCGCTTTCCACCATAGCTTCATCCTGATTCTCACTTCCAGAATCATTCAACTTCTTCCCAACTGAGAATCCAGCTTTCTCCTTCCCGGCCTCATCGGAGCCTTCTGGTCCCTTTCCGTTGACAAATCCTTCGGTTGGTACATCATCAACTTTACCGGTCACCAAATCAACGGAATCGCTAGTGGGATCATCAACGAATATATCCGCTAAAAAATCCGAAACGGATTGCTGATCCAGAAAAGATTGATTGTCCTCATCGTTCATCAGATGGCTCTCGATGTCTCCGATCCACGAGTTTGCAGAGTCCGGTGAAGACCGAATAAAATCACCCGCAATAGGAGTTTCAGTGAAAAGTGAAAGATCGAAATCGACGAATAGATCATCATCTAGTAGAAAATCAACGCCACCTATTTCCTCCGCCATGGCAGTCACAAAGTACAACAAATAAAAAAGAAAAAAAAAAATTGGAGAAGAAGGAGAAGTTTCTACTAATTAAATATATAGGGGAATGGCGTCCTGAGTCGTAAGTCCGTTCCTTTGTGGCAAAGGAAACGTGTAGTCCGTAGGACACGTGTACTGGTGGAACGCGTTGTTCTGAGTTTAAGCCAATACAGTAAGGGGTTGTACTGTATTACAATGTTCCTACCAGCACACGATTGATTTCTTTATAATGCCGTCACCCAACCAATGAGAAAGCTTCGAGAGGGAACAAATGTAATTATACCCAAACACGTGTACGGTGTGATTTTATTACTGACGGAGTGTGTAACTCACAAATATTAAAAGTAGTTTTTATAAACAACTAGGGATTAATTTTTATTTTTAAATATTAAATATATAATTTTTTTTTTTGAACATTGTATTTCGAATTATATGTAATTAAGATTAAAACTATTGTATTATAATGTTTATGTGAATATTTTTTGTGATCTTTGAATTTGAGATGACCTCTCCTATTCTACGAATTACACATTCAAATTCAATATAAATCCATAAAATGCAAATAAAGAAAACAAAAAAATTAGAGGGGGAGGGTTGAATTTCTGCTCTTTCGAATATTGGTTTTAAGAATGAGTGATTGCCCTTCTCCGATTCTTATTGCCCAACCTCCGAGCGGACGAAAGGAAAGTTTTGTTTGAAAGAATCAATAAAAAAAAAGTATTTGTCTAGATGTAATCGAAGCAGGTTCAAGTGTTTGAAGAGCATATCTGCCAAAACAAATCTGATTTTCACGAGAGGATATTTCTTTTAGTCTTCCTCGATGTTGTTTACGAAATTTGGTTCTTTTTGGGGTTCCAGCTCCGTATCAAGTTCATGATCAATATCGTTACTAGCATCAATATCGTCACTATCAGCGAATTGAAAGCTAAGCAGTGATAATTCTAAAGATTCCTCCGGGGTGCAGTTCATCCAACGATAAACCGAATTCAATTATAGAGCTATGACACAATCAAATCCGAACGAACAAATGTGTTGATAAGCTAATTCCTGTAGATGTCTATTTTGTTCGTATATGTAACCTAAATGATATTGATGCTTAACTTTAAAATATAAATAATGATATATCCAAATGTATCTAATACATGTCAAATGATAGTATAATGTATAACATAATCATTATATGTAAATAACCATTTATTTTGTTTTTTAAATTTCATAAAATATTTTTATTTAACAATATTATACATATAATATAATAGTTTAATTTTGGAAGATTAATTATGTATAAATTATGTATAGTTTAAAAAATGTAAGAGAATTAAATATTGAATAACTGAATAAAAAGCTGAATTTATTATCTTGAAAATCAAATATTTTCTCTCTCCATGCTTATATTCACCAACTTCATCCTTGATATTTATAACTCAATATGTTTTTAAAAACCTAAGTTTTAAACAATAATCTATTTTAATTAATTAAATCGATCACCGATTATGTTCTTTAAACTATATATTTGAAAGCTTTTTAAAACTATATTTTAAGCATAAACACTACTATTAGTTAATTAAAGTTATTTAATTTAAAATATTTTACAGAACAATAAATATATTTTATATAATGTTGGGATTATATAGTTTTGAATATTTAAAATCATTTGGGCCAAAAAGGTAATTTGAAACCCAAGAAAATTATGGATTAGGTTAATTTAATTTGAGAGAATACCTTTGAGTATATGAGGAGCAATTCAATTTTCATGAGTAGGTTTCTTTTTTGGAAGTTGCGGGTTTTCCTACAATGAATAAGCCTAACCAAAAATTTGTTGTAACACAAATCTCATTCAAGGTCATCAAACGTTTTTGGGATGACAAAAGTTGATGGTGGAGACACTTTTTTTTTCCTGGAGTTCTTTTGGGTCTTCTTTGATGGGTGTGAGGTTGATGTCGATGGAATAATGAGTTTTATAGGGAACTGTTTGATGTATAATTATATTTTTTTTTGTTTAATGTAGTATTTCTACTTTATTTTGTATATTACTTATTTAATTTTACAATTTATATATAAATGTTTAATGTAGTATTCCACTTTTAAATTTTATATTTAACTATTATTTATTTTTCTTTATATTATGTATTTTCGTTACTTATACTTTATATTAAGTAATATCTATTTTTAACATTTTAAGATAGATGTTGAACTTTTAATGTAATATTTTCATTTTAAATTATGTATTTACTTATTATTTATTTTTTCGTTATACTATGTATTTCCATTTTTATACTTTATTTTACAAAATATCTATGTTTGACCCATATAACCAAGATTTGCAAAGGAATAAAATCCCACATTTTAAGGTTTTTTTAAGGAAATGGACATTTGCAAAATATCCAACTTCTTAAAATACACTACAATATTCTCTAACAATAAATTTTAGATTTTACTAATATTCTATTAACTAGGTGTTGACCCGCGCCCTGCGCGGGGTGAGATTATTTTGACTTTGATCGAAGAATAATTTGGTATATTAATTTGTTTAACTAAAAATAGGTAGTGGATGTGAATTAGTAATTAAAATAATATAGGCATATAATGAGATATTAGTATAGCTGCGAAACGAAGTATTGATTCATAGCTATTTGTTTTCACTTTTTGT